GAATCGATTATTAAGGTGTTCGTTGCGATCACCCTGTCATTTGATCCTTTTCCATTGGTTTAAATGGCGGAACAATCGATGTATCGCGAATCTAAACCCGGTCCCTCTTAATCCTTCCGGATCATCCCTAATTCACACCCGGGCCTCAGGGAGACCAAAAGCTCTTAAAGTCAAGCCTGCACTAGGACCCGATCATCGAGTCAACCGTCGAGATTAATTAGCGATGCAGGCGCCGAAATTTCAGAAAAGCGACAATGAATTCTAATCACATCTCAGCCCCTTCATCGGTGTCTGCAAACGGAGCGTGCCTGTAGGTGCCGCACAGAGGGACGAATCGCTGGAGGGGTCGGATGAGAAATTTTCGGCTCAAACTACGAATTTCATAGGAATAAAAAGTCTATTAGATCCTGAGTCTAGACCTCTGAAAAATCAACAAGAAAAATTACTTCAGATTCAATCAGATTTTTGTTCAAATCAAAATTTAAATGAAGAAGAAGAAACCAAAAGAACCACTTTTTAATGAACTTCTAAGTCTCGTTATCGAATCTATTAAATTTTCAACTTTCCACACTACACTGGGAAAAAAAACCTCTTGGACCAATGCCGTGGTGCATTGACTTAAGAGTGCAGTTTCTTATCACCGGATTTAAGAGTCTTGAACTCTTGTTTCAAGCGGATTTTGCATTGAATCAATTCAAAATCCGCTTGAAACAAGAGTCCAGACTCTTAAATCCGGCGACAAGAAACTGCACACTTGAACCAAGAGGTTTTTTTTACCAGTGTATGTTCGACCTTTCCTATTGACTCGCTCAATTGTGCGCCAAACCGCACAGTGCGGAACAAATAACAGAAGAGGTCGGACATGAAATTTTTGGCCACAATTTCAAATTTCTATGTTTATTTCGTCACAAATGCAGTTTTAAAGGGTGTTTATGGAAGGAAATTTCAAGAAAAAACCGATGGAACGACTCTTAAACTTCTGTGTTTCATATTTTCAAGAATGTAAGCTTTCAAAGTTTCTAGATTTTGTCCGACTTTTCCTTTTGACTTGGTCTAGTGAGCGCCGTGGTATCCTTGTAGGGCGTCGACAGTAATATGAGGAAGAGGAAGCGAATTAAGTTTGAAAGCTTATTGTGAATAAAATCGTATCTCAGACTGGACTAGTGTAACTAGTTTATATTCCACCAACTTTAGTTGGTTTCACGTGTTTCATCCTCTGCGCACCCGACTGAATACGATACCTCCCTCTATCCTCAAGTTTTCCGATAGTGATAAATGAATCAGTGAGAACGAAAGCACACCAACTCGGTGACTCAAAAATGCTCAATTTGCATTAAAGAGAGTCAGTTATCATAAAAGTAAGTGAAGTTAACGCATCTGTTCCAACTTGGACCTTAAAGTGTCCTCAAGTACTTGTCTTTCGTCACCAAAAATCTTCTTATTGCACTAATTTCTTCAACTGCTATGCATTTTTGCGTGTGTCTTGATTATTTTCATTTTTCGAGTTGGTGTGTTTTCGTTCTCACTGATTCAAATGTTTTGAATTGAACATTTTTCGATGTAGAATTACTGTTTTTGGCTGTGTAAGAATTCAAAACTGCGTTAAGAAAATAATGATCCTTGCGATCTGTATCAATGTGCAGACTAATTGGGGTAGAATAATCCTTGAATATTTCAGGAAAGAGTGAAAAAAAAGTCTTTAATTTAAAATTAATCTGATTTGAGGAAAAAGGAGTTAAGAAAAGCGCACCTTGAGAAATATTCAGGAGTGATTTCAGGAAATTGAAAATTTAGACGCTTTCGCGGATCGAACATCGTCAAAGAAAATATTCCTCGGAGGCAGTCGGTAAATATTTGTGTGCATGTCTTTGACGAACGCTTCCGAGCTGACTCGATATTCTCCGCCAGCGCGCGCGCTTTTATAGCTTATCGAAAGTGAAAGCACATTGGAAGGACTAACGATTTCCCGTCAGAGCGGATAAGTTTGTATCTTTTCGCATAATCTCCCGAGAATACGAAAAACTTGGAAGCCTATCCGTAGGATTCTGAGAAAAGCTCGTGCGACTCAATCTCTCTGAGGACGCAGGGATGTCAGGAACGTAGCTCGTGTCGAACTTGGTCCCAGACCATGCGTACCAGCGGGCCGATTATTGAAACTAAGAGACAAGGCTACAGACAAAGACGACAAAAGGAATTTGAAGGGATCCTATTGGTGGAAACGGGTGGTGGCAATGGACAAAGGAGGCAGGTAATGGACTTACTAACGGCTACTCACCAAAGACCCGACAGTTAGTCCATAATTTTCTTCCTTAGTCTGTAGGAACCTTGCTCTAATGCGTACCAGTACAAGATTAAGGCAGGGGGAGGGGTGTTTAGCTCAGGCACCTTGCGTTAGAATATTAATAGTGAAAAAAAAAAAGGAAAAAAAAGGGGAAAAAAATTGACTCAAATTGAAAATTTGTTGACTTTGTTTTCCCCGCGAAATGTTGTGGACTCTGCACCTTGTTGAATACAGTTCGGGCCATTTTAAGGGGGATTTTCCCCCCTCGTTTAAGGTCATGTAGGCAGTACAAACCGGAGTGAAGTCACGACCGATCCATCTCCGATTTATTTCGCTTAACATTGATAAATTGGTCGTTCTTTCATTTCCGCTTCACACAGACATAGTGGCGTTGAGATCTCCTCGAAAATACTGAGTGACGAGGGCTACGATTGGATCTTCTTAGGTGCGATTCTAGCAATTTGAAAACACCATTAAGACAAATACATTGAAAATATCGATTCTTGGTGAGATGGACTGCGTTACCTAGAATCTAGTGTTCAACAAACATTTAAATGGAGAGAAACCAGTGTAGCCAGCTTGCAAAACCCGCCACTGGATCCTCTCGATCAGCAACGGAGTTCTCCCGGACAACGCCAGCGACGAAAATCCATCCATCGAATGTTTTTCTAACGACACCGGCAGCGCAGCGGTGTCGAGCGGGTTGCCTGCGGCGCGGCGCGCGACTTCTCGGGACCGTCGAAAGCCGCGCTTTAATTAATTAGATGAACTGATGTTGAACTCGACGTCATGCGGGCTGCGGATCGGGCGGCGGAAGGGGCCGCCTTCCCCCGGCCCCCGCCCCGCCACCCGATACCGGCCGCGCGCCCTGCATCCGAATTATGGCAGATCATAACTGCATTGCTTATTAACGCCTTCGTCGTCCCGCCGGCCGTCGGAGGGATGCTTTTTGCATAATCTCCAGGCACGGTTCAATCCGGCGGTCGACCCCAGACTCCGTCGCACAGTGGATCGAGTCAATTAGAGAGGGCAGACATACAATTTTTCACTAAAACTGCAAGTTTAGATGTTAATTTCATCACATTTTAAATATGAAGGGGTGCTTCTAGCAGACAATGGGGATGTTGCATGGGTGAGGAATTTGCGATTTGACTGTTGATTCTTATGTAAAAGTTCGCGAGAAACACGATGGTGCCACTGCACTGGTTTTCTATGAAATCAACTCTAAAGCTCAAAAAAAGCTCCCAAAGTGAGGCCAAAATAGAGGGGATATCCCACCCTACCCTGAGAGTCCACCTCTACATCAAGACAAATTTTCCATGCAAAGGTAGGGAGCAAATACATTAGCAGGGTTGCCACTTTATTTGAGGACTTCATAACTGAAAACACGGCAACCCTGTTAATGTATTTTCTCCCTATATTTGCATGGAGCGTTTGTCTTGATGTAGACGTGGACTCTCAGGGTAGGGTGGGATATGCCCTCCATTTTGGCCTCAACTTGAGAGTTTTTTTGAGCTTGGGAGTTGATTTCAGAGAAAGCCAGTGGCACCATCGTGTTTCTCGCGAACTTTTACACCAGAAATAACAGTCAAATCGCAAATTCCTCACACATGCAACATCTCCATTTCACGAGGAAACCAATGAAACCACTTTTTGGAACCTTAAGGTTTTGTATAAACGAAGTTATACGCGTTTGAAGTTTCCAAATTTTATCCAACCTCTCTTACTGACTCGATCCACTGTGCGTCGGCGAGTGCGGGGCGCGAGGAGTCGGCTGGCGCGCGTTTTCCTTTGAACGAGCCNGGGGGGGGGGGGGGGGGGTGCGCGGTTTGAATCGCGTCTTCTCGGCGAAATTTCTCGAGACGAATTGTGAATACAACGGGGCGGGTCTGTTGCCAGGGGCGATTCCCGTCATTTGGCAACGCTGTTTCTTCTCCATTTAAATGTACACTAAACAATCGATTCTAGATGAGGCAGCCTACCCCGCCTAGAATCGATCTGCCGTGATAGCGAAGAATGCAGTAAGTGTCAAATTTTCGAAATAGAGTCGGCCGCGAAATTCGTAGAATCTCTTTCGGATGAAATTACTGAAAGAGCTAAAACAGCAAAATTCATCTAAATTGTATGAAAACGAGACATATGTAAAAGCCGTATGTGTGCGAAAAATGACGTAGTTTAAGGCAAGACAGCAGTAAGTGACATTATTCCTCCAGAGAGCCAATGAAAACAGTGCTGTCAAGTACATGACCGCACTCTTCTGCTGATTTCTAACCTGACGGATGCTTCTATCAATAAAATTTTCCGGTCAGAAGCTTCTGACTCCGTTTCCTCAAAACTTCATTTTCGCGCTTACTGCTCTTCTCGCTATCACGGTAGCGATTTATTCAATGCACTGGAAAAAAAAAAAACACATTGGATCTAGAGTCCAAACTCTTGAAAACATTGACAAGAAAAAATACTCTTGATTCAATCAGATTTAAGCTTAAATCAAAAGAAAATCCGCTCAAATTAAGAGGCTTGGTTCTTGATTTAAGCTTAAATCTGATTGAATCAAGATTATTTTTTCTTGTCGATGTTTTTAAGAGTCTGGACTCTAGATCCAATGTGTTTTTTTTCCAGCGTACACCATCCATTAGGCAGTCAAAATTAACCATAATTTAACAGTGACAATTAAACACTTGTTTCAATATTTTCACGTCTTTGTTTGGTTTTGTTTCAGGGGTCCTTTCAGCCTTGTGCGAAGATGTATACACAGGCAGACTGGCCAACAGTTTGCCGTGAAAATAGTCGACGTTGCCAAATTTACTTCTAGTCCAGGATTAAGTACCTTAGGTAAGGGCTGCATGATAATTAGTTTGTAAATATTTGAAATTCCTCCCTTTCACCCTTGCAAATTTTTTCGGGAGTTAGACTGACAATAAGTTAGTCATCCTACTCCAGCCCTGGAAAAAAACACATTGGAGGATCTAGAGTCCAGACTCTTAAAAACATCGACAAGAAAAAGTACTCTTGATTTAATCAGAATCTAGCTGAAATCTAGAACCAAGCCTCTTAATTTAAGCGGATTTCGTTTTGATTCAAGCAAAAATCCGATTGAATCAAGAGTCCTTTTCCTTGTCAATGTTTTCAAGAGTCTGGACTCTAGATCCAATGTGTTTTTTTCCAGTGAGGGTGTCTAGCAACCGGAAAAACCGGAGAAAAATTGGGGTGTCAGGGAAATCAGAGAAAACGCCAGGAAATCTGTAAAAATTCGGAATGTACAAGGGAATTTTATTTTGCAAGCAATTTTCAAGTCAGGGAATCGTTAGGGAAATCTAAAAACACGGATTTTTCGAAAAATGTTTCGCGAATTTCACTTCTGCGTATATTTCCACCATAATTCTGCTGATGTCTTTCAAATTTCAAAAATGAGGCAAAAACAGCTCGCATAAGTATAGGCACCCTTATACTTTGCTCTTTTTTTACATTATATTTGAAAAAAATGGGAAAAATTCTTATTTATATCTAATCAATTCAAATGTGTCGAAAAATTAGGAATTTTTCCCTTCTTGTCGGGGGAATGTCAGGAAATTATTTTTTCCGTAGGTCTGGGAATTTTGATTCTCCCCCGATTTTTTAGCCGTTATTATCAAGAAAATCAGGGAAATGTCTGGGAATTTTGTTTTGTTAAAAATTGCTAAACACCCTGTAGAACTCCTCCCATTCTCTCTTTTTTTTTCGTCATTGCCAGGTATTTCATGAATAACACGGGACCATGGTAGGTTAACATAGGATGAATGTTAACGAAGTCAAACTCATGCTTGTCAATTGCGAGTTTTTCTCGGTTTCCCGCCTGCGAGTTTTTGTCCCGGAAAAAGTATAAAAAACGTTTTGAGAGTGTCAACTGTCGGGTTGGATTTTTCTCCGCTGGTACCGCTAATAATACCCTCGCGTCTCTTTTTGTCCGCTCGTCTGTCTGACGAGCTTCCATACGAAGCTAAAACGCCATATAAGCAAAGCAACGTTGCCAAATCTCCCCGAATGAAATTATTTTATTTTCGAGGAAAGGTATGAATTTCATTCTGAAATTTTCAGGTCCTCCCGATCAATTAGCTAGTGATGCCGCAATCACACGCTGAATGTGGGAGCTGAATGTGGCTTGAATGCGGAAGTCATCGGCTCGATGCCTGAATTTTGCGCGTGACGCGCAAAATTCAGCAACGATTCTCAGCAACCATCGGACCAATTTTGAATTTGTTTGAACTATTCGAGTAGATTTGATACACATCTGGATGAAAATAACTCGAATCTTCTAAATTTCAGCCGTTGGGCGATTACTGTTGACTTCCTCATTCAGCTGCTAAATTCAGCGTGTGATTGCGGCATGAAGCAGGGTGTCTACTACACGGAAAAAGTACGGATTTCTGAAGGTCGATACGGAAGTACGGAAAAGGTACGAATTTTTCGTTAAAAGGTACGGAAATTCGAGGTTTTCGTGATGAACTAATTTTCGTGATTTTCGTGATAAAAAGTAGCCTTGAATTGGGGTTATGCGATTTCCATTTATTCAGTTCCCGGTTCTTCTCGTGTCATTCCAGAATTCCACTTTCCCAATCCGAATATAGTTAAAAATGCGCGTGAAGTGAGGAAAAGGTAAGGAAAAAGCAAGGATTCTTAAGAATGGCTATGAAAATGAATTTTCGGGTGAGTAAGGAAAAATTAAGGGAAAGGTACTCAGTAAGTAAGGAATCTGAATGATAGGATACCAATAGACACCCCGAATGAAATTCTCCGCCAAGTTAGAGAAAAAATCTCGATGGCTAAGGCCACCAGCCGACATCTTTGGCGAAAATAAGCTTGCGACATCGCCGCAATAGCCTGTGTCACACTTTCAAAATACTCCTTCAAAATGTCAAGGTCAACAATTTATGTGTTAAATCATCAATCCATTTTTTCCGTGAATGTGTTTTATCAAATGAAATTTGACAGCGTTGGAATATTCATACGACGTTTTTCATTCGGAGCTCGTAAGTGTGTTGTGACTTGTGAGTGCGGGTTGCGAGTGTGTTTTAGCCCCGTCAGAAGCGACACCGGGAGCGCGGTTAGGCGAGGAAGATAAAAGGCTGAAAGAAGGAGGAAAGTTAAAAAACGGAGCCCCCGGATACAATGAACGAACAAGATAGCAAATAGAGAGGAACTAACTCTCCAACGCAATCAAGGCCCCGTGCCCCATCCCGCGCCACGCTTCCACCCTGCGAGTGCAGCCCCCCAATTACTGCTCAATTCTAATTACGACTCCCGCACAATAGTCCAGAAGGGGTCCTGGAAACGAATCTGTGGCACACTTCGAGGTTTTCCGGACGAAGAGAGGTAGTTCAATGGAGATGTTGCATGTGGGAGGAATTTGACTGTTGATTCAATAACTTTTACATATATGTAAAAGTTCGCGAGAAACACGATGTTGCCACTGGTTTTCTCTGAAATTAACTCCCAAGCTCAAAAAAAGCTCTCAAGTTGAGGCCAAAATGGAGGGGATATCCCACGCTATCCTGAGAGTCCACCTCTACAACAAGACAAACTCTCCATGCAAAGATAGGGAGCAAATACATCAGCAGTGATGCCGTGTTTTCAATCTTAGAGTCCCCAAATACAGTGGCAGCCCTGTCAATGTATTTGCTCCCTATCTTTGCATGGAGAGTTTGTCTTTTTGTAGAGGTGGACTCTCAGGATAGCGTGGGATATCCCCTCCATTTTGACCTCAACTTGAGAGCTTTTTTTGAGCTTGGGAGTTGATTACAGAGAAAACCAGTGGCACCATCGTGTTTCTCGCGAAATTTTACACAAGAAGCAACAGTCAAATCGCAAATTCCTCACACATGCAACATCTCCATTTCAGGAGAAAATGCCAGCTACTTTTCTTGAAGAAATTTAAAAAAAAAAAAAAAAACGAGTGGCGAACACCAACGTTGCAATCGGAGGAATGCATTGTCCCAGTCTCTTCGTTGTTTTTTGCGCTAAATTCACCGCAAGCAGTACAAAAATCAACACAAAATTTGTGATGGTGTGTGTTTCACTTCCTATATTAACCAAAAGTAACTCAATAGCTCAATTATTTTTATGAGGGTAGGAGGTATTGCCTTTGCGCAAAACACGAGTTTTTTTTTCCTTGCACTGTTTCGTCCCGGACCATCGTGTGCCGCACGGTGGATCGACTGAATTAGAAAGGTCAGAAATGAAATTTTTTCCTAACAAAATAAATTTCGATGTCTAACTCGTCACGTTTCAATTTTTAAGGTGTGTTTCTTAAAGGAAATTTTCGAGGAAACCAATGGAACCACTTTCAGAACCTCAAAGTTTCGTATAAACGGAGTCATAAGCTTTTTAAGTTTCCAAATTTTGTCCCGCCTCTCCTATCGACTCGATCCACTGTGCGCCGCCCCCACGGACCAATCCTCGCCGGAGGAGCCCTCGCATTATGTTTTTGCAAGGTTTTGTTCATAACTACTCACCTTGTTGGCGTTTTTATGCGTGTATGCGTTGTGATTAGCTAACTTTATTACACCCTCGCTCATCACCCCGCTGCTCCCGCGCTTCGCCGAGCGTACCCGGGGGGTGCTAATTCGTAAGTTCCTCCTAATGAACTCGTATTATCATCATTTTCGCGACACGTGGGTTGGGTTGTGCAACGCGGAGTTGTCTGCCGGCTCCTCCAATACAATTGTATGCTCTGTATTCGAGGTTTAAAAAAGTAGGGAAACAGACATATGAACTAAAGTTAAGTTATGCACGGAGAAAAATCTACGGTTTTATAAACCAATTAGTGGTTCATATGCATGGAACACCACTAATAGTCGTAAATGATCTAATGGTTTTCGGTCTGTGAACCATACTAAGGTATCTCGTACCATATGAAGGTATATATACCATTATACAATGAAGAAGATATTTCGACGGTGAAACTACTGGACCACGTATCTTGTTTGCAGTGTTTAAGAATCTCCGCTCCCATTTTATTATTTTTTTTTTTTTTTGAATGAGAACAAACTAATATCATTCCTTGAAGTTCACACAGAGTTTTCTTCGCTTTGAGAGGAAAAATTACGGAAGTTTTCAAAAATTGATGTCAAGTAGTTTTTCATTTTAAAAATTAAGTATGACAGGAAGTCTGCAACGCCGCAAACCGAGATACGTGGTTTGGTAGTTTCACCGTCGATATTTGTTATGTTGCCTTTACTACTATTAGTGGTTTTCAACGTGAATATGGCTGTTAAACTTTGTCCTTCACATTGATACTTACGTAGGTATAAAACTTCAATATTCTGATCTACGGTTCAAACGTGATAAGACTCAGTTAGTTTCTGTTAAGCTTCGTCCAGTCTAAAATCTGCACTCCCAGTCGGCAATGTATTGTCGTTTATCCAATGTCTTTGCGTTTATCTGACGCAAGGGCGTATCTCAATTTCCATGTGAGCCCTATTTCGCATATATATACATGATTTCTGGGGCTCATGCGGAAATCGAGATTCGCCCTTTCGTCAGAGGAGCGTCGGATTGAGATCCAGCAATCACAATTCAAACTACGTGATTGAGGAGCCCAACTCTATTTTTCATCTAGTGATGCTTGATTAACAATTCATTGAGTTTCTCATTGACCTAATAATTGCGGATGGATGTCGAAGCGATCAGTTTCGCATGCAGTGGCGAATTTCCGCGATCGAAAACGTATAACTCCATATGCTCATTTCATGCCTCCGTCCATGCACATTGCACGGCGATTTTGATACAACTACTCGAACTTCAGTGCGAGCAAGGAAGTATCACGCTGGCGTTGAAGGCGTTTTGTGCCAGCGCCAAGAATACTGCACCGTCGGGTCACTCATATGCGCGCAGCGTTAGAGTTTCTCCTCTAGGGTACCCTCGTTTGACACAGAAACATGTCTTCACTAAACTCCTTGGTGCCCCTTGAACATAATTTTCAGAAAAAATTCTCAAATTATTACCTAGCGAATTTTTGACACTTATTAAAGTATGAAAAACGCCGTGCCTTTTGCACCTTCGCATGCAAGTAATGCATTTGAACCAAAGAAGGTTGTAATTTTTTGGAAGTTTGAAAAAGTGATCCTGTGATATTTTGATCATCCTTCATGCTTTATATTATGTCATTCTCTATATTACCTCCTTCTCTTTTTTTTTTCGTATTATTTTGTCAAACAAGTGTTGTAAACTTGTGAATACAGAAAATGCCTGTGACCCAAAGAAGGTTGTAATTTTTTGGAAGTTTGAAAAAGTGACCCTGTGATATTTTGATCATCTTTCATGCTTTATATTATTTCATTTTCTATACTACTGCCTTTTTTTGGTATTATTTTGTCAAACAAGTGTTATGAACTTGTGCATACGGAAAATTCGAAATTGACTCAATCGCGCTTTTGCATAGGATATCATTCGAATCATAATGCTAAAGTTTAACTGCGCCAAAATGTTTTATGAAAACATGATTGTAACAAAGAGGGATGAATATTTGAAAATATGTTGCCCTATCTTAATACGACGACAAAGATATGCACGAGACCACATCCACAACACAAATTAGTATCAATTCAATCTAAATTCTCATATTTTTGTGAGTATAAGTGGCATATTTTATGAATAGATAAGTATGAATTATTCATGTACAGTTATTATCCTGTTTTTGCCATTTTTCTGGCATTTGTGCAGTATCGAGATTTTTACATTACCGCAAAAATTGTCCTCTACCGGCGGATTTTCTAACGAAGAAAAAATTTAACAAAGACGAAATCAATTCATTTTTTTTTGTACTTAATTAAGCATTTTAGTCGTTTTAAAATTAAATTCCTATTATTTTTCCGGGCTCAATTTAAAAGAAAATGTAAATCAAGTTATGTGATCATCTGTAAATTCTTTAAACCGCTCATTGTTCTGCTTTTGTATCTTCCGGTCTAGTTGGTCGATTGACCAATCAAACGTGGTTAACGAGGACAGCACATCAAAGGCAGGTCGCATTATTGACCCATGGCGAACTGAGCCGCCGTGGACTTGGACGTCATATCAAACCAATAATAGCATGCTTTGTTATTTGCTAATCACAAATAAACCAATGAACGCATCGGTTGTATGTATGGTGTGGAAATGCCACACCAGTTACACGTTACGCTATTGATTATTCATCGGGGAGAGTGATATTGTGGCCAGGGTTTTATTGTTTAGAGGTACGTCTCTCCAGCAATCGACAGAGAATCGATGAAAATTGTGATTATCATCGAGTTTTGAGTATCCGTCTTTTCATATTATCATCCCTTTGTCAATTTATTGTCGTGGAGTCGTTCTTCGATATTAATGAAGGTTTCCAGCGGTTTTTAAAATTTACCAAGTGTTCCAACTTTGTCAGGCTTCATCCAAATTTGTCTAAAAATTACGGTTTTGCGCCTATAATTAAGGCCCGATGACTCAAAGCGACGCAGGGAGATCGGTGCACTCATGAATTCTATCTTCGTCTACGAGACGAAGGAATGCAACTCCATTTCAAGATTCTGCAAAAAATTTAAAACTTTGAAAAAGTGACTTTTAAAAACTTAAAAAACTTAAAACTATTTAAAAATTTATTCCAAAAATATGAACGCGCAATTTCTGACGTAAGTTTTACTGACTATCGAGAGTAATCAGAAGAAAAATCAGTGTAATTTTTAGTCGGAGACCCTCCCAGTAAAAATAAAATTTGCGAGTGCAGATTTTACGACGTTGTACGTCACAACTTTTGTCTTGAGAATGACTTATCTCCTTCCCGGCGGAATTCCCTGAACTCCTTACGTATCCCGAAAAAGTGCTGATGGCGCCTTGAAGTCAGACTTGTTATCCATATGGCTCCTAAAATCCCGGAACAAATTCGGAATACTGCTCTCGGCCCCCTGTTAAAAGGAGAAATATGTCTAGCACGACATCCATGCGGTTCCTGCACTCAGGGCCACGTTTAAAACCTCGTTAGAACGTGGTGACGTGCGGTGGGCGCAAAAGGGGCGCGGGATTCGGAAGGGCGGCGGACGTGGGGCGCACCACGAAATAGACTGTAATTAATGGGCGCCCCCCCCGGCCCCCCGACTGGTGGCGCGCGTGCTTACATAGACATCTGCTCCCAAAAAGGGACCATTCATTAGATTCAGGTTCCCAAGGCCCCAGTATCCCCCCCGGCGTCTCCCCCCTCCTTCGAACTCGACCTGCTTATCGACAAGGTTTATATCAACCGTGTGCTATCACCGTGTTTAAACGGGTGTTACCAATTGGTGTAGAATGGACCAATGGTCAAAGTGGATTCGTATCAAGGGACTACCCCTATTCCTGGCTCACTACCAGTGAGAAAAAGTAAACAAAGAGGTGTGTGAAAAGACGTCCAAAAATGCCCAAACGCATTTTCGAATGGAGATGTTGCATGTGTGAGGAATTTGCAATTTGACTTTTGATTCTTGTGTAAAAGTTCGCGAGAAACACGATGGTGCCACTGGTTCTCTCTAAAATCAACTCCCAAGCTCAATAAAAGCTCTCAAGTTAAGGCCAAAATGAAGGGGATATCCCACGCTATCCTGAGAGTCCACCTCTCCATTACGACAAACTCTCCATGCAAAGATAGGGAGCAAATACATTAGCAGGGATGCCGCGTTTTCAGTTTTATAGAGTCCCCAAATAAAGTGGCAGCCCTGTCAATGTTTTTGCTCCCTATCTTTGCATGGAGAGTTTGTTTTGATGTAGAGGTGGACTCTCAGGATAGCGTGGGATATCCCCTCCATTTCGGCCTCAACTTGAAAGCTTTATTTGAGCTTGGAGTTGATTACAGAGGAAACCAGTGGCACCATCGTGTTTCTCGCGAACTTTTACAGAAGAATCAATAGTCAAATCACAAATTCCTCACACATGCAACATCTTCACTCGCATTAAGGAACTACCCCTATCCCTGGGTCACTACCAGTGAGAAAAAGTAACCAAAGAGGTGTGTGAAAACACGACCAAAAATGCCCAAACGCATTTTCGAATTTTGAACGCTTGACGTGATACAGTAAGTCTCGAGACGCCCTAAACTGGTCGTGGTTGTACTTAGAAACCAGCGTCTTGAGACGCTCGCTAGACGTTCGTTGAAATTTTAAAATGCCCTCCGGTGGCGTTTTTGCGGCAACATGAAAAGGGGGCATCTATTTTCATAATTTATTTCCCCTTTGATTTCCCTTTGTGCCGGCTTTTTGGCTTGTGATTTTTTGCTTTTCCAGCAGGAACCACTAACACTTTTTTCCTGTACGTGTGTTTCAGATTTAAAACGCGAAGCCACCATTTGTCATATGCTAAAGCACCCACACATAGTAGAATTGTTGGAAACCTACAGTTCGGAAGGCATGCTGTACATGGTCTTCGAATAGTAAGTGTCTCTCATTTATTTTGTTTTTCTCTCACAAGATGAGATACGACGGATGAAGTTTCTATTTTGCAAAAGACTGCTCCAGAACATTGCAGAGACATTAAATATATTTAATTTTACAAATCGTAATCACAAGATGAATTGATGGGATTTTCTGATTAAATTGTTGTAACATATTTTTCGTATCCATGTAAACTCAGCTCTCAGTTTAGAAAGGGAATTATAAATTTTAAAAAAATGAGCTGCAAATAATGATCCAGAAGATGAAATCACTACATTACTTCACGGAAAAAATGGATTGCTGATTTAACAATTTACATTTATTGTTAAAAAAATGTGACAGACATGAATGTTTTTAATGTGCATTTTACAATAGTGGAAAGCTAATTAACCACGAGCGTGGTTGGATTAGCATTTTTTATTGTAAAATCTACATTGAAACATGTCTAATACTTTTTTTAACCACAAAATTGTTCAATCAGCAATTTTATTTTTTCCATGCATTCATGCATTCATACATTCCATTCAACTGCTCATATTTCTCAAAAACGATAGCATTTTTTACAAGATTAGCCATGGAGTCATCATCTGAGGCACACAGATACTCTCTGCTTGTATATCTAGGCAATGTAAGAGATTTTACTTCAGGAGCTCAATATTGTCTCACGGATAGCAATACTCATCTCAATCTCATATTAGAGGTTTTGCAGTTTTTTCACTATAGGTTTACCAAGCAGCTACTTCTTTGCGAAACGAATCCCTCAACGCATCATTCAATAGCCGTAAATAATAGAAAAATAGAATATAGATAACGCTAATATAGAATGTAGGTAACTTTAGAAGTAAGTTGAGGTGCGGAAGAAACAAGCGGAGCACTTCGAACGCGACGAGCACCAAACGAATTTCATCATAACTCCTGAATACAACTATTCGACCTCCGCGGATGTCCACGTTGCATACGCACGAAATTGAAGGCGTTTTGTCGCTCCGACTAGCACCGCTCTATTCGCGGCGCGACAACTACGAACTGCGAGGAACTTCAGAGCACAGCGCCTTAACTTCCTCGTTTGCGTTTCTATTGTTTCAAATCCTTGGCATGAAAATCTGAACACAGGTGTAGGATGTGGAGATCTCTCATTCATGCCTCAGTTTTGATTTCGCGATGAGCTGGGCATAATTTGTAGAGCAAATATTCGAGCCTAATCGATTTTGGTGGAAGACAGTGTAGGGGGCCCTTAATACTCTCTAACTATGTAACGTTTGGGGGGAGGGTGGTGTCGTGGAGATTGTAACGTCATTTTGTGTTAATGTACTAAAAGATAGGGAACCACGCAACAAAAGCGTTACACGGGGAGGAAGTTAAAAATTCCCAAAAAGTGCGTTATGTTATTTAAATACCAACTCGCTCTATCAAGGAGATTATTTCAACAGTTGAGTGGTTAAAGTTGGAGTTTTCGCCTGTCAGCCACCAAGGTAATAGAAGTGTTTTTAAGAATATGTGCAAAAGTAACAGGTGCAAGTACAATGGGTCTCTTACAAACTCTCACCAGAGCGAAAAGCCCATTAAATCTTTTTCATTTCCAACTCATGAGTCTAGTAATGGCGAATATCGAGAAAAATTTGATTTCAATTAATCAATTTGATTTTGACAAAAAGTCGATACGACTTAAGAATCGGTGGCATTATATCGATTTTCCTGCAGTACATCAATTGTCTCGATTTTTGGGATCAAAATTATGACTAATCGCTAGAGATAACGTCAGCGCTGTCACTACTTTCAAATTTTGGCACATGAATTTGTCCAGAAGGAAGTGTTGAATCCCGGAAAGTAATAGCCTCCGCCTATCGCGAAGAGGTCAGTGGAGGGTCTTTTGTCTCTGGTCCGTATTCTCCCTATTTAGGCACTCTAGTGAGAAGTAACCGCGTGTTTCATCGAAGTCCTCTTGCATTTTGTCGAAACTTCGCAACTGACGTAATTGTGCCGTAGCTCGGTGTCATTTTAAACTTATGAATACAGTTTAATCAAGGCGTCGAAATAGGCGTCAAGGGGGGCTTCCAAGAAGGGATGTAGCCAACAATCGCTCAGAAGATTGCCGAATTGCGCGTGAATATCCGCGCGGTCGGCGCACAGTGGATCGAGTCAATAGGAGAGGTCGGACAAAATTTGGAAACTTTAAACGCTTACAGGGTGTCTTCAAGTCCGGAATCACCGGAAAGTCCGGAAATAGTGCTGATTTTTTAAGGGCGGTCCGGAAGTACTGAAAAAGTAAAGAAATTCTGTAAGAAGGTCCGGATTTTTTTTCATTTTTGTCGCAATTTGAGCCAGAAATTCAAATTTTTGAAATTTTTTGCATTTCGTCAATGGACCACTAGACAAGGTACGAATTTCAGCATTCTGATACATGTTTCGTAACTAAAATTTCCCGTGGAACACGATGCGCACAATCAAAATTGCCGACATTAATTCCCCACGAAGATATTTAATGATTCCCGATATTCAAACCACCCGCGCATGAAAACTCAATGCTCTACGTGTTTCACATCGCGCGCTAAACGTTATCATGACAGTCTCTGCTAAATAAAAATCTGGCAACCTCAATCTTGACGCTTTGGCTCGGCTGTAGCAAATTGCTAATAGTTTGAACAACACATGGTGGGAAATGAACATTGCTCGATTGAGAAGCTCGCTGAAATCGTTGTAGTGCGCGAATTGACTCACGCAGAGCTTTGAGTTTCTTAAGAGTGGGCAGTTCAACTTCCATCGTAACCAATGTGAAATAAAAAGGTCATTACCTTCGACAGGAGTTGGTTTCATTAATTTTCGTTGTGTTAATCGTGTTCTACGTGAAATTCTGGTTTAGAAACATGCATCAGATTGCTTAAATTTGTACCTTGTCTAGTGATCCATTGGAGGTACTGAAAAAGTACCGAACTTTCCCCCTAAGAAGGTTCTTGGCAGTGCACTGAAAAAGTAACGCAAAAGTACTGATTTTTTTGCCAACCTGTATTAGTAGACACCCTTACTTATAACTCCGTTCATACAAAACCTACAGGTTCTAACAGTGGCTCCGATGGTTTTTTCGTAAAATTTGCTGCTAAAAGTACCCCTTAAAATTTAAAATGTGACAAAATAAACATGAAAATTTGCAGTTTTAGTCAAAAATTTCATGTTCGACCTCTCTAATTGACTCGATCCACTGTGCGACGGAGCTCGAAGGGGAACACAGGTGATATCCCAACGCAACCGCGAGCGGTATTAACCGCGACTATTATCGGTGTAAAGCGTCGCACAGTGGATTGAGTCAATTATTGTATAGGTCGGATATGCAATGTTTTACTAAAACTGCAAATTGTCATGTTTACTTCGTCTCATTTTGAATTTTAAAATGTGCCTCTAGATGAAAATTTCACGGGGAAACCAATGGAACCACTTTCATTTAACCATAAAGTTTTCTCTATATGGAGTTATAAGCGTTTAAAGTTTCCACGTTTTGTCCGACCCTTCCGATTGACTCGGTCCACTGTGCGTCGGTTACACTTACCCAAGTTTGAGACTCTTGCCGTCGTTCCTGGGAAAAACATCGTTTGGAACTGCAGATTCAGACATCGCCAAATTTCCCTCGATGAAATATTTATTTTCGAGGAAAGTTATGAATAGGTGGACTGCGTTAAGCAGAAAGGGATCAAGCTACATCAGCTATTGCCAAATTTAATTTTTTATATGGAACGGTCATGCGGATTTTTGTGCGAATTTCAGTGAATTTTCTCTATTTTACGAAACAAAATTTTCAAAGGAATTTGCACAAACGTTTGCTTGTGAAAAATTAAGTTGTCCAGTTAAAGGCAACAGCTGATGTGGCTTGGTTCCTTTCTGCTAAACGTGGTTTAGTATAAATGGAGATTTGCACGGAAGTTTTTAATTGCATCATTTTAGAGTTATAGCTAGAAGCGCTGATTTCGCAGTTTTTTTAAATAAATCCTCCCTTATATGGGAAATAGTATAAAAATAGATTTAAAAGTGAGAAAATACACCGTCTAGTGACGTCATGTGATGGAATCTCCCTTTAAAACAAATGTATTTCAGCAGAGTTGGTTAGTTTGTCATATCTCCTCAAATAATCGTTCAATTTATGAACTAATAGGGTATCCTTGTGTTCAGTTCTATCTGTAGTTTCCTCTCAACACGAAATCCATCAAATTTTAGAAGTCTGCAAATTCCGCATTATTAAGATTTTCAAATACCTGGGAAGAAGTTAAGCATTTAAGGTCAAATAGACACGAAGTTTTTTTTTATAACTTTCAGAAAACCGAAAAAACTGCATAAAAATTATTTATTACGAAATACAAAGAGCAAGATACAATGGGTACATCAATAGTTAAGCTATACTAACTTACGACTACCTTAACCTAATTTTTTTACAGTGTGTCTACCGTCAGTAAAAACGGAAAAATATCAGGAAAGTCATGTAATGCATCAAAAAATTCTGAGTGCTGCAAGCAGTTTTTAAAGATTTGATTCAATTCATACAATATGTGGATTTTCTGAATCAAATGAGTGTCAGTTCATTCGCGTGAAAAATCAGGAAGTCTCGTTCAAAATATCCGAAAAACCAGGAATATATCTCACCTTCCAGCCGAAGTATCACAATCGCGTACGACGCAACGAAGTTGTCCGAAAATTTCACCGAATTTTCTGCGTGCCGCCGATCAAATTCACTGAAATTTTCAAACAGATTCAACCAACAACTTCTCCGTAAAAAAATTAAATGGCAGCGTAAAATTTGAAACGTCGCATGGCGTTTGTGATACTTTGCCCGGAAAGTGACGAAATCAGGAAAATCCAAAATTAAATTTGAGTTGACATTCTATTTCAGACAAGAGACACATTTTTAACTGTTTCAGAATAAAGTGTGAACATAACTATCCGACAAAATTAATTGGAATTATTCATAAGTCTCCGCAAAATCCGCTTTTTACCTACACGGAGAAAATTAAATTGCTAATTTAACACTTTTGTAGTTAAAAAAGTGACTGACATGTTCCAATGTAGATTTCCAATAAAAAAATGCTAATTTCACCACCCGCTTGGTTAAATTAGCTTTCAACTATTAGTTGTAAAATGTACATTCGAACATTTCAGTCACTTTTTTTAACAATTGAATTGTTAAATCAGCAATCCATTTTTTCCCGTGTAAGGATATTTGGCATCGTCTGAAGGCTCATACGGCGTTCTTGCATAGGACAGGACGACAGCTTAGTCGCAGACGGATTATTCCGCCAGCGGTGGGGCGCGTAGCACCAGCGGCGAAGTTTCCTACTTAACGCGTGTTTAATGACTTTTGTTCAAATGTTTCAGTATGGATGGTTCCGACATCTGTTTCGAGATCGTTCGCCGGGCAATGGCAGGGTTCGTTTACAGCGAAGCAGTAGCCAGGTAAGAAATTACTACCCCACTCCTTATTACACCAGCGAGCATTGTTCTTTCATCGGTTTTTAGAACTTTTTTAACCGTATTTCATGAATTTGTATCGGTTTAATGCGTGAGCGTACCGCTTACATAGAAAGGAAAAGTAACTGACATTAGTTTTGATGTCGGTGGAGTGGCGTGCTCTGCGATGTATCAATTGATCTGCTATTCAAACCTATGGAAAAGGATCGATAAATGACATGAAATTTTTCAGATCATCGATTTTTTAAAGGCGTTAGAGCTGAAAGGACGCTTACTTTAACTTTCAAGTACTTGGAACAATACCACTAGGGAAAATGTTGAAGTCCAAAGAGAAAGACAGATGTATTGATCTGTCACAGTACATTTGCCTGAAGTTTTACATTGCTAGACAACTTCGCTGACACATCTATAAATCTGCTATTAAAACCTATGGGAAAAGATTGATCAAGAGGTAGTTCGCACAAACACCTTAATAATCGATTCTTTACCACAGCTTCAAATGGGAAAATATCGAAAATCGATCATTCACGCCTCGCTACCGGTAGATGGGAAACACGGAGTAAGACAAGCTGTTAATTGATTTTTTGTGTGATAGTTCTTCTTGCAGTGTCAAGTCCTAGTTTCTCCAGATGTTTTAGGCCTGTGGAAAGTTTTAACTGTGTAGTTCTAATGAACCCCAATGAATAAACTCCTTGCAGGTAAAATCGCACGGGTATCACGGCGGGCGCATCAGAAAAGTTTGAAATCCCCTATGGCGCGGTATTTGTGCCGTGGCGTTGGTAACTCGTTTTTTGTCATGGGAACGGAGTTTTGTCATGGGAACGGAGTTCCCCATGATATTAGAATCGTTCCGTTGCTTTCGCTATGGGATTCCCTATACCTCTGCGACCTTGAGCGTTTCGCCCAGTCTCCGATTTTTGGTTGATTTTCCGATGTATCAAAAACCGTTGTATTTTTTAGCCAATCATGTCTCTACGTCAAGTTGTGTTGATTGCTAAAATTCGCTTTCAGCGAGTTTTTTTCCACCTTGAGATGTCGTGTCTGACTGGTAAATCTGCGCAGAACCACGAAGTTCCGTTTTTAGGCAAATTCTTTTTTTTGGGAGGTTCTGATTGGTTATTTTTCGCCATCAGTTTTCTGTTCGTTGGTGCAAAAGATCGCCTACCTCGGTGCTCTTGAGAAGCCGCCATTATCCCACCTCAAATTTGAAAAATAGAAGTAAAGAAATAATAACCATCGTACAAGGTGGAAAATTGTTCTGGAGGACTCGTTACGGATAAAGAAGTCAAAATCAGAGCTCGATTGATTGATTTAATTCATGGATACGCAAATATTGCCTTAGCTCAACTGCCGCGATCGGAATGCGTGCTGGGATGAACCTCGAGACGCATTAAAACAGTGCGAACCATGGCTCCTACAGCAATACAGCAATGCGCTTCATATCATCCCAAAAGCAGTCAAGGTCTCTTGTGATAAGTCCCGCCCATTGCCCGAGTCTTTTGTATGCTATTTTTACTCTCGCCCACGTGGATCCATTATAGCCTAGTTGACTAAACCGCCTCGTATTTTTGATTCGGTGCGGGCACCCGGCGATCGGGAGTTCGATACCCGACGATGGGAACTACTTTTTAATGGTTGTATTGAATGTTTTAGACTAATCATCAAAAAATAATTAATAGTAGATGATAAATGTACGAACATTTTCTCGTGAGTTAATATGTTAAACAAAAATACTGGAATATACCTTCTTCATATAATCAGCCACATGTTCCCCCAAATTAATGACGTTATTTTCTTTTTTCAATAAAGTTAATTTGCATTCAACGTTCGTAAGTTAAGCAAAAAGTACCTATTGATACAAATAGAAAGACATGAAAATAGTATGTCTAACATTTCAGTTGTTTTTTTTTTTTTTTTTTTTGTTTTTTTGTTTTTTCAATAAAACAAATTGACTGGGACTAGAATCATTGTGTCTCTGAAGACAAAAGCTAAGTTTTTTGATACAGAAATACTAATATATTCATCCTTTATATAATCAGGGAGATGTTGACCCAAATATTGATGTATATTTTCTCTGTTCGCCCAAATTAATGATGGTATTTTCTTTTTTCAATAAAATTAATTTACATTCCACGTTCTTAAAGCAATATTTTCTCCAAAATTCAGCAAAAAATAACAATTTATACCTACGCAAAAAGTAAATAAATAAATAAAGCAATGACATGAAAGTAGTATAGGTAGTACACATCTAACATTTCGGTTACATCTATTTGAATGAAAAAAATGGCAACTTAGGAAGCACATAGGTCACTTATCGACGGTGAAACTACCAAACCACGTATCTCGGTTTGCGACGTCGCAGACTTCCTGTCATACTTTATTTTTTAAATGAAAAGCTACTTAACGTCCAGTCTTGAAAATTTCCGTGATTTTTCCTCTTCGTGCGGAGAAAATTCTGTGAAAATTTCAAGGAATGATATTGATTTGGTCTACTTCAAAAAAATAAAATGTGAGCGGAGATTTTTAAACACCGCAAACGAGATACGTGGTTTGGTAGTTTCACCGTCGTTATGATGCGTATTCGGGCATATGCGTAGAGTAAAAATATCATACTTTACGCCGAAAAAACGAAACTGAAAGTTAAATGCGTTAACTTCCAAAAACCATACATAATCCAACGAAAATAAATAATTGGTAAATAACAGCTTTCTTGTATGCAAAGAAAAAAAATTAAAAATGTTAAAAAAGAGATGTCGACACAAAATTACATAGCCCCTTCAATTCTGAAGATACTACAAACGAACTGTACCTTAAAATTTTCATATCCCAGAAGCAAAAGTTCCCATGACGAATATTGCTATCGCTAGCGATTGCAAAAACCAACTTGTTTCTAATTTCTCTCTTCCGCAGACAATTTTGTCCAGTCATCAGCGACAAGGTTCGTCTACAACGAGACTGAAGAAAAAACCTAAATGAACAAAAAATCTCGTAAACTGCTACAAACTCTCGTTACGAATGCTTTCAGTCGGCTCAAATTTTATGTTTTTGCAAACCAAAGAAATCAGTAGGGAAAAACCGATTGATATACTTCTTCAACGTTTTATCCTTCGAAAGAGAACTAATCAACGGTTTCTTTTGAAATTAAAATCAAGCAAAATTAAATGGGGTGTGTAGGAGTTTTCGCCGAAGAAACTCAAATTACAAATCGCTGATTTTTTTAACGCTGCCATCGAGCTACGCATTTTTTTGTATTAGACGTGGAGATTCTGTTCTCAGAACAGCCATTCTTAGTGGTTCCTTATTGGGGAATGTCGTCCATTAGGTGACGCGGCGTGGATAAGGGGTCGAGGGCGCGGGCTCCCCCCCCCCCCCCCCCNATTCCGGAGTGCAACAGCGTGTTCTTGCCCCGATAACGCAAGTCACACCTCAGCGCGTTACCCTGGATTGATTACGCTGATCCGATAATCACCCCGCGCCGTTACTCTGATCCGCACTCCCGTCCTAAGAAGTCTAAGCACCGCCGCGCCGCACAGTGGATTGTGTTGAAGCTGAGGTCGGACGAGAAAATTTTGACTTAAATTTCAAATTTCGGTGTTTATTTCGTTATAAATTAAATTTCATGGGGTGTTTCTAAGATGGAATTTCACGATGAAACCGATGAAATCACTCTTAAACGTTTTTGTTTCACGTTTTAAAAAATATAAACGTTCAAATTTTTCAGATTTTGTCCGGCTTTTCTTACTGACTTGGTCCAGTGTGCGCCGCCGCGCCGTAAAAGCCTATCATCAACGTCGCGTCGCCATATTTCTTCACGTATGAATCGTATTTAGCAGGAGGGAACCAACGCGATCGCGTTGAAAAAATTTAAGGAAAATGTGGAAATTGTAAAATTTTAGACACCGAGACACGCTATCATTGATACGCCTTAACGGCACCGTAGGTAGGTATCTTGCCGTGGACTCCTAAACTATGTGACGCTCTAGGGTGGAGGGAGGAGGGGTTGTAGAGGAGAGTGTTACGCCGTTTTTTTTTTTACGTGTTGAAGTATAGAGACATACGACACAACAGTGTTATAAGGGGGGAGAGGGAAGGTTAAAATGCCGAAAAAGTGCGTTAATTTAGGGACAGCCCCTATGTAGAGAAATTATGGCCGCTTGGATGGATATCATGCAAATAACGGTGGTAACAAAAAATGGCGGAAAACTAAATTTACCTTTACTTGAACCTTCATTTTTTAAATTTTAAAATACAATTTAAATTTTTATTTTGTTTTTATATATTTTTAGAGTAATTTTCTTCAATTCTATTTAGCTCAGAGGCTTATATTTAATCAACTTATTTCCAGTACTTGACCTCTAAAAACTGGGTTTACTTACCTCGTAAATTGAAATTATTAGTTCGTAAAGTTCTTAATAATATTCACTACTACACTTCGTGCAAGAACGAATTCCTTTTCTGTTAGTTGCATTACGGTAATAATTTTTTCCACATAAATAACAACTTTTTGGTTGCGTTCCCTGTTTTTATTAACCATGCATATCTGATAACCTGATTGAATGTGATATTTTTACTGTTAATTTTATTTTCATAATTAATTACCTTTCTACACAACTCCCGTAGCTGCAATGACAGCTGTATGAGATATTCCTAAGAAAATAATCTGTTAGAGGGACAATCATGATCATAAATTACTCCACCTTACTGGAAACCGACAGGACAGGGACAGGGACAGGTACTCAATGAAAAAAAATTCTCGGCGTTTTTACCACGGTCCGTTGGTACCTTTACCATCTCAGTTTTTTTACCAATTATTGGTAATTTTACCAAGACAGACTGGTAAGCTTACCTAAAAACCGGTATTTTTACTGTTTTTTTTCAGGTAAGAATACCACTTTTATTGGTAATAAATTCCCGGTAACTTTGCCATTTTATCTCGGTAATTCTACCACAGTCGATAAAAAATATTGGCGTCTTTACCAAGGTCC